GTTCTGCCCTAGTTTTTCCTCATTATTCCACCATTACCCAAACCACAGCTTGGATATTTGCCACATTGGGGGGGTGATGGTGACTCCCTGCCCCCTCCAGGCAGGTGAATTTCTGGAGCAACACAGACAAGTGGGAAGAGCAAGGACTGGTGTAGAGGGAGTTATGAGAGAATTAAATATCATTAACCATATTCATTAAGCAATTTCAGGTACAAAAGGAGGCTTGAAGGCAGGTTTGCAGGCCCTTGCTTTTTAATTTCATTTCTGTTCTTTCTGCCTCCTGCCAAAGCTGTTTTCTCTCTGGCCACCTAAAGAGGCAAAGTCCCTCTTAGGGTTGCTCTGGACACCCTTGAACAGGCTCCACACAGAGTGCCACGGGCTCTTCCTGGGGATCTGTGGGGAGTCTGGGAAAGAAAAAAGGAGGATTATTTCACTTCAAGGGAAGGAAACCTTGGGCTGAAAGCTGCTGTCTGCCTCGTTGGCTTCTCAGTTCTAAACCAGCAGCCTGAGGACACACACAACAAAGTGTACACGTGTGTCCATGTGTAGCAGCACCTTCAGGAAGGTCTTGTGGTTGCTTTGGAAGTCACTTCCAACTAAAATGTCCATCTGTTCTCTTACCAGAGCCAGGCCTAGTGCTTTGGACTGTCTGTCCCACAAGTGGTTCATGGTAAGTTTGTCCTGGTCCTTTATTAGTCATTACAATAATGAGGTTGGAAGAGACCTTGGCAGGGGCAGCCCCAAAAGCTGCTGGATATTTGCTGGTTTATTTTTTTCCCATGGTCTCCTATTTTCTGTGCCACAGGAGAGCTCAGGCCTGGCTCCCCAGGAAGAGGTTTACATGCCAGGATATCTTTCCTTTCAAAGGATAAAGATTTACTACTGACGTGAGCAGATATAACATAGAATCATTTAGGTTGGAAAAGCTCTTGAAGGTCGTGGAGTCCAACCATTAACCCAGCACTGCCAAGGCCTCCACTAAACCATATCCCCAAGTGCCACATCTTTTAAATCCTTCCAGGGACGGTGATTCCACCATCCTGCCCTGGACAGACTGTTCCAATCCTTGACTACCCTTTCCAGGAAGAAATTTTCCCTAATATCCAAACTAAACCTCCCCCAGTTCAACTTCAGGCTGTTTCCTTCACACGTCAGAATAGGAAGGAACCTGTGGCTTTGCAGGGCAAAGTTATGATTTATATTCCAATGCCTTAAATCACTAAGGAGAAGAGCTAAAAATTAACAATAAAAAAAGGATTTAATGACATGTATTGAACAAGGGTTACTTTTATCACTGATTTTGTCTGGAATTTAACTATGAAGGGATTGTAGCATTTGGTCTACTGTAGCTTTCCTAAATTAAACAACTCTGGAAGGAGAGACTCCTAGAGAGTTATTAGGAAATGAAGTAATTTTTTTTTGAACCAATGATTTTCCTCTCATTCCACCTGGCAGCACAATGTCCCCCTTGAAGCAGCTCATTTCATTAATACCAAGCAGCTCAAATTCATTGTGGCTCGGAGCAAGTGGCAGGTGAGTTGCCCTTAATCTATATTTTTGTTATATAATCTATACAATAATTGATAATAATCTTTATACCATACAATAATAATATATGTTATATGTTATTTATTTTATATATTATCTAACACATAATATCTAATATATAATTATATTGTATTGCATATTATATCATTATATACCATATACTATGTATTATATATACATTAATCTAGAATGTATAATATACAATAATATATAATAATCTATATAATCTACATTTTTGTTATATATTTTTTTATTTACATTTGAATCTTTGAAAGTCTTTTGGGCTTGGACAGCAAGCTCAGCAGAGATCTCAGCTTGGCTGTGAGTGGGGAATAAGCCCAGGAGGCTGCAGTTGAGGGATGTGTCAGGGATTAATTATCTAGACTTTTACTGCCTGGGAAACACTTGGTCTCATGCAGGTGCCTGTAAGACACAAGGTTGTGTCTAAGTAAGGTAACCTCAGCTGCCTTTGCTGAATTATAGACAGGTCTCCAAAAATACCTCTTTTCCTGAGGTTCTCTAAAATGATGGGATTGATTGCCTTCTGAAAATGCCAGTTTCTCCCTGCTGGTAGGAAGGGGAGGGCAGCTGCCCAATTTCAACTGAGATGTTTCACATGGCAGAATTTAGAGCAGAGGAATCCCACCTCCTGCACTGAGGTAGGTCTTCTGTTGACCTAAGTCACTGTAGGTTGAACTGCAATCAATGGATTTAAGGCCATTGATTCCAGTAAGTCTTTCTTGTGATGTTTTCCATTAAAAACTTCTTTCCATCTGCTTTGAGTGGCCAGATTGACTTTGGAAATCTCAAGCAGGGTCCTGCTTCCCTGTTCACAACAGCAAGTATGTCCCCTGAAGTCAATTTAGTTTCACATCTGTCAATGAGGGAAGAGGAAGATTTGGAGAGCAAATGAGGCCCGGATTGGTGACGTGTATAAAGGGTTGGTAGTGTGTAATTAAACTTGTGGGTAATTAGGAGTTCAGGAGTTCATTTGGGTATGTTTGCTTTGCCATCCTCCCACCATGTCTCCATCTCACTGTGCTGTATTTTGTTTGGCTCCCCAGCGGTCTCTGATGTGCTACAAATCCATCCTGGTAATGAGGTCTATCCCAGAAATCCTGGAAAGGACCCACGACAACACCTCCCTGGCCATCTCTCGACACCTCATCGAGGAAAGCACTTCATCCAGTACCAGTGGCTCCTCTTCAGACAACGAGAACTCGAATTTCCCCAAGAAGAGGCACTTTGGTTCCACCCCCGAGCTGCACTTGCCCGTGTTTGAAGCACCAAGTTATCAGGAGCCTCCAAAACGTTCAAGTGAGCAGAAGCACTCCAAGACACCAGTCCCTCCAGTAAAACCCATGAGGAGGAAATATGCTTCCATGAAAGCTGAGATGGGGGACAAATCACCCACAGAAAGCAAAGAGTTCATGGCAAGTGTCTTCCAGGAGAAGGAGGAAGGGCTCCATCCCAGTGTTCGAGATGAAAGAGCAGAGCCATCCCAAAGGAGCAGTGCTGCTGAGCCTTCATCCGTGAGGGCTTCCACAGAAAGCACATCACATCCAGGTCAGAAAGGAAAACCAGGCATGTCTTTAGCTGATAAGGAGAGAATTGAAAAGGCTGGGGATGGCACAGAAATGCCATCTGCCTTTGTGCCCAGGCAGAGCGTCATCAAAAGCACTTTCTACAGCCAAGCAACAGAGCTCCCTGCAAGGCCGCCTTCCTCACCAGGCAGGGAGTTCAGGAGGCACCTGGACAGAGCCAGGAGGACTTTCCGGAAAGGTGGATATTCGAAGGTGCCCCTCAGTGGTCTCCGTGAGCCCCTCCTGGAGCAGTTTGAGCTGGAAGAGGAAGAGGAAGGAGACGATCGCAGGGAAAGCCTGCTGGGATCCTTGACCAAATCAGCGTCGTTTGACACTGCCAGGAAACCACCACATCCTGCCATTGCTGGTGCCAGCAGGAGCCGTTCCCTGGATGACTACAGGCTGAGAGCCTCGAGGTCACTGAGGGAACAAGATATTTTGGAAGAAGACTGTGATGTCTTGTCCCAGGAGAGCTGCCCTGAAGGCAGTGACCACTGTGACATTTCTGCAGGGCCTGGCAAGGGATGTTCTGTAGACACATCAAAGCAGGAGGAAGTCAGGAGAGCCAGCAAGGATTGTTCAGGAGAGAAGCCCTCTCCTTCCACACATTGTGAGGGTAATGAGTGCCCAGCTGCTTTTATGCAACAGGCTGAGGGACTTCCAGTGTCACCTCACAGGAGTGAAAATAGGAAACCTTTACTGAAGAAGTCAAAAGCTACTGAGATTGAGGAGGATGTCGAAGATTTGGAAGGCAAAAGCCCCATTCTGACTGCCCAGTGCTCAGACATAACTGCATCAGCAGCCCAAAAACATGAGAGCCTGGAAGGTAAATCTGCTTTTCAGGAGGGCAAAGAGTCCATTCCAACCCTGTCACAGTCAGAGGCCACCTCTGAGTCATCTCCCACGAGTAAAGGAGGTGTGTGTCTGCCCCAGCAGTCAGCTCACAGCACTGACATCCACCCGGATCAAAAAGGTGGAACGTTGCTGATCAAAAGGACGGCCCCAGTTCCACCTTGGAAGGACAAAAGGCAGAAACATTCAGGTGAAAAGACCTCTGCTCACGGTGTTGCTGAGTCTGAACTCATGGAGCATGAAAGCTCTGCTGTTCCAGCAGAACAGACAGAGACCGATTCATTTCCAGTACGTAAAGACAAAAGTCGGGAACTTCCCGGGGAAAGTGTTCCAGCAGCTCCTGTCTCTCTGGGCAAGCAGCCAGGTGCCCTCACAGCTGGTGAAGGGGCTCCTCAGAAGGTGAAGACCCGCAAAGAGGTGAGATCTGCTGTCCTGGAGGAGGAAGGGCTGGGTGTGACAGGAGTCACTCCACCATCAGCCCATGCTGGTGAAAGCCAAGCTCACAGAAAGGCTCCTGCTCATGGATTCACAGCATCAGCCAGCCTGAAAGGAGAGCACCTTGCTGTTCCCAAAGTCGCATCACCACAGCCAGTGCCGACTGCGGTCTCTGGTGGAGCACAGGCTGAAAGGGAAGGGCCAGCTTACAGCAAGGAGAGGTTTACTGCCCTGAGGAGCGAAAGCTCTGCGGTCACAGAGGTTGTTCCCAGCTTGACCCATGAAGGAGCCAAACCCCAGAAGGTTCCTGAAGGCCATGGTGTTCCAGAGAGCAGACACACAGCGGGAACGGTGTCCTCCCAAAGCACTGCTCTCCCTTCGGTCTGCCAGAGGGAAAAACAGGAACATCCAGCCCTTCACAGCGAGGTGACATCTGCTGTGACACCAAGTGGAAGCTCAGCAACTGTGCAGACCACAGCTGCTCCTTTCCCCAAGGCTGGACATCGGGTGCTGGAGCAGCACAGGGCTGCCGGTCCCAGTGCTGGGATTTCTGATGATCTGGGGGGTGCCTTAACTGCTGCACAACCAGAAGGTGCTCCAGCTTCAGCCTATGAAGTAGAATATGAGGAACATCCAAAGGTCCATGGTGAGGGTGGAGGCGTTGCCTTAGAAAGTGGAAGATCTGATGGTGGGAAAGCTGTCCCAGCGTCGCTCCGCAGGGATCGCCGTCAGGAGCAATCACATCACAGGTCTTCCTTCTACAGTGATGAGGAGTCTGCTGTGCTGGAGGGCTTAGTGGACGAGATGGTTTCCCTCTCTGAAGAGATGAATGTTTGGGCAGAGTCAGTTTCTGGAGAGAAGGAGAGCAGAAAGCACATCTCTCCTCCCACACAGGTGTTCTACAAAGGCCCAGGTAGCCAAGCACCCAGGGACACCTCCTCCCCTTCTGTAAAACAGGGTGAAAGAGGGGAAGCCTCTGAACAGGATGACCTTGAAGAACCCTACCTTGCTGTGAGTGAGGAGTCAGAGGCACTGGAAGGGCAGGGAGCACAGACAGTTCCTCGTGAATGTGAACACCTGGAGGACGTGGCGTTTGAGAGCCCAACTTCCAGCCGAGCCAGCGTTTCCTCAACAGAGAGCTTGGACACCGGGAAAAGACCCAGCTGGGTGTCAGTGATAAAGGACACCGGGAAACACCCAGAAGTGTCTTTGGTGAAAATCAAAGACCTGTCAGATGAAACCCCCAGTACTGGCAGCGGCCCTCAAAAATTTGACATCTCAGAGGTGGAACCTGCCTACTTGAACTTCTCTGACTTGTATGACATCGTCTATTTTCCGTTTGAATTTCTGAGCTACAAGAAGCCTTCGCCCAAGCCAGTTCGTAGACGGTTTATTCCTCTCGGTGAAAGGGCAAGGTCCCCTCCTGCAGGGCATCTGCATAAGGAGAAGAGGCTGTGCATCAGGGAGCAGGCAGAGGACAAGAACAGGAAGAACCATTTGGAAATATCTGAGGATTCAAAGGCAACTCACTTAGTGGCCATGGGGAAAGGGCCAGAGAGCCATAAAGAAATGTACGGCTCCCAAAAGGACTCCAGTGGGAAGCAGAAAAGCTCCTTCCACACCAAGCCAGGACTCTTTAAGCCATATGCAAGGTCTCATTCAGTGGAGCTGTCAGTGGAGCAGAGTCTGAAGAAGAAAGTAAAAGCTTCTGTTGCCCATATTTCAAGAATCCTAAAAGGAAAGACATCTCCCGAGCCAGAGGCAGAGGAAGGTAAGTATTTCACTCTGCTCCTTTATAGATTTTCTGCTATAACTGGGCTCTGATAAAGCTGCCTTTTCCTTTTATCTGAGGCTGTGGTTAGACTGGGATTGTAAAACTGGCCATGGCAGGTTATGAAATCAGCAGTTTCCAGCTCCAGCAGTACCCCTCTGTTACCCCAGTGCAGAGGCAGATGGGTTAATCCACTGATGGAAGGGGCTCAAATTCCCCTGTCTGAGGTTGCACAAAAGCAGACCAGGGCTGGGTGATGTTTTCCTTGCTGCAGTTATCATCTGACCATGGTAAATCTCAAAAAAATAAAGTGACTGGGAGAAGCTGGTGAAGTCACCCTGGCTATTGGACATCAGGATCTGTCCTTTCTTCTCTACCATCCCTAGATATTCCCTGTTCTTTCAGGACACTGTTGTGTTTGTCACAGCTGTCACAGCCTTCCCTGCTGACTGAAGGCTGGTTAATAAGGGAACCTGTGAGTGATGAGCTGTTTATGTGTGAATGGAGGAGCTGTCACTGTAAATTGATGCCACGGGGAGAAGGATGGCCTTGAGTGACTTCTCATCCTTTCTCAAAACAGAGTTTGGTGAGCTGGGAAGTGAGGCAACAGAAAAAGAGCTGTTAACAGGGGCTGAAGGATCTCTGAAGAGGAAATCAGCACTCTCCTCATTCAAGTTGCCAAGCCTCATGCCAAAGGAGAAAGGTATTGCTGTGACACAAGCCAGTGGTTTGTTTTAGCATGAAGTATCAGTAATGAAAATCCCAGTGCTGTGTGAGGCCAGTTTCTAAGGATGGATCTGCAGTGATTGTCTGGAGATGACCTGGACCAACTCATGTAACATGGGCCAGTCTCCTCTGTTTACATCATAACTAGGACCTTGATAAAACCTGTCATGGTGTTGTTTGCAAATTGGAGCCTCTCCAGGAAGCCACTACAAAGGAATAAAATCCAGGTGTAAAGTAGAAAAAGAATAAAAGGAGTATCCACAGGTGGGAAGGCAGAGGCAGGGAACTATGAATTCCTATGCTCCAGTCCTGAATGGATGTGTTAAGTCCACACATGCTGCTACAGAGCTATGGAATGAAAAATAACAGGGCAGCCCCACATGGTGCATCAGCAAAGCTGAACTTGCTTTTTCCCAGACAAGTTTCCCCTTGACTCTGTCAGGAGCATTTCCCAAGGTCAGACTAATGTTCCACTACTCAGCAGAGCCCAGGGAAACACTGGGAAGGGCAGGTGTGGGAGGCTGGCAGCTCCTGGAAAGTGGGGAGAAAAAAACCCTGGAGAAGCACAGAAGAAAACCCGAGCTCCCCCTTTGCCATGGAGGCAGGAGCAGATTTGATGTTCTATGGGGTTTTTCCTCCTTTCATATCCATCTTTCATCTCTGCTTCTCTCTTCTTACGTTGTCTTGATCATGGAATCATTTAGGTTGGCCAAGACCTCTAAGATCATTGAGTCCAACTGTTCCCCAGCACTGCCAAGGCCACCAGTAAACCCTGTCCCCAGGTGCCACAGACACATGTCTTTTAAATCCCTCCAGGGGTGGTGACTCCACCACTGCCCTGGGCAGCCTGTTCCAATCCATGATGACCCTTTCCATGAAGATAGTTTCCCTAATAACCAATCTAACTCTCCCCTGCTGCAACTGGAGGCCATTTCCTCTTGTCTTATTTGATCCCTTCATCCTCAAAATACCATCATTTAGTTTTGCCCCCACAATTTGGCTCGGCCAGGGGAAAACTCTTGTTGTGACATGATCTCTCTCTGCTCTGAGCTGTTCTGCTGCCTCAGCTGTACCAGCAGGGCTGGGCAATGCAGGTATTCCCTATGGACTTCCCAAAATCCATCTGGGTGATCATGTATGAACAGTCACACTGTGTCCCTGGGGCTCCTGCACCTGTGCTCAATGCCCAAGGGGTTCTCCAGCGGGCGGTCAAAAGGCTGACAGAGTGAGAATCAGAAATGTTCTTGAACAATTAGAAAGGTTTTCTGATGTCCTGCATGCATTTGTTTTCCACATAACTCTCCTGGCTATTCTGAATTGATGTTTTTTTCCTCTTCCCTGCAGCCCCATCCTTCACTGAGGAGCTCATGGACCAGGCTGCTGCCGTGGGACAGTGCGTGACGCTGTCGTGCCGGACGGCAGCTCACTCCTCCCTGCACATCAACTGGTTCAGAGGTGACACTGGCATCCCTCCAGGGAGTCCCTGACCTCTGGGAGAAGGGTGCAGGGAGGGGTTTAGACACCTTGGTATCAACTTTCAGGGTGCTTATCTCTCCTACCTTCTGTTTTTCAGACGGGATCCCTGTCCAGAGCAGCAGCCGGATCCTCATCTCATCCACCCTCAAACACTTCCAGCTCCTAACTATTCTCTCTGTTAATCCTGAGGATTTTGGTATTTACACCTGTGTGGCCACAAACTCCCTGGGCTCAGCATCCACCTCTTGTGTCATAAGAAAAGCAGGTAAGAGGAGAAGCAGCTACAGAAACAGGTGTTATAAATAATTCCGCCCCAAAATGTGACCTGTAAATACCTTTGAGGTGAGATTTCTGCAGAGAGGTGCAGAGGACAATCTCTCCCTTGCTGTAGTCCACAGCCTTTGCTGTCTGGTAGTGTGGCACATATTGCAGGGTTCATTCCCTCTTCTTCACTCTTCTGGATTCAGAGCCCTCCAAGACAAAACTTTAATACTGAGTTTAAATTAAGGTTGGGTTAAATTGCTGTTTCTCTAGGTGTGTGCCTATATGTACATATAAAACACACACACATATATATATAAATAATATCTGTAACCGAGACATGCTGGGTGTAGGGTTTTGATTCACAGCAGTGCTGCTCTTAACAGTCCCTGGGTTTTGTGCCTCCTCTCAACAGAGGTTCCTCCCAGCCCTCCACCCCCTGACATGGTGGAAGTCTACAAGGATGGAGTGCAGGTGGTCTGGAAACCTGTGGAGACCAACACCCCTGTCCATTACACCATCCAGTGCAAGAGTGAAGGTAAAGTGCTGTCCTTACACCTCACAGGGAACATCTTGGTTCGTGTGATCCCTTCTCCAGCTGGATATTTTACTTTTATTCAGAAACAGCCTGATTAACTCCCTAGTTTTGAGTTAGGAATGAAATCCATACAGCCATCATTCAGCCATCTGAAAGTTAAGTGTTGTGCTAAATAAATCAGCCTGGAAAATATGCATCTTCATACCAGTAAAAAACATCATCCTACATCCAGGCTTTCTGGGCAGTCTGTTGTGGAGGAAGGTGATCTGTCGAAAAGGGAGTTCATCCTCTGCTAAACAGCCATGCTTTCTTTTCCCATTGATTGTGGAGGAAGCTCAGGACAAACAGCCAGAATAAATACCCACATTTTGGCAATACTACACCACCCCTTTGATGTTCTCTTGCAAGGGTTGGTCCAGAGCTTAAGGAAGTCAGTGAATCATAAAATCATGGAATTATAAAAAGGTTTGGGTTGGAAAGGACCTTAAAGACCATCCAGTCCCACGCCCTGCCATGGGCAGGGACACCTCCCACTAGCCCAGGTTGCTCCAACCTGGCCTTGGACACTTCCAGGGATCCAGGAGCAGCTACAGCTTCTGTGAGCAATCTGTGCCAGGGCCTCCCCACCCTCACAGGGAAGAATTTCTTCCTGACATCTAATCTAAATCTTTCCTCTTGCAGTTTAAAGTCATTCTCCCTTGTCCTGTCACTACATGCCCTTGTCAAAAGTGGATGTTTTCCTGTTCAGTTACAAAAGCTCTGAACCAAATCCCCAAGCCTGTTCCATCTCTCCTGGGACTGCTTTGCTGTTGTCACTACGAATGTGATGTCTGACAGCAATGCCTTCTGCAGTCACACAAACACAGCCCTTTGGATTCAGCTGCTCCATGTTCCCTCATCTAATTCCCCAAATATACAAACACTCCCTTCTGGATTAGCACAGGCATAGGCAGTTTTCAGCCTTTTCCCTCTGGAGCTGGTGTGAGTCACTTTTTCTCCAACGCCACTTTTTGTTATTCCTTTTTGACACAACAATAGGACACACTCTGTGGAGGATAGAAACACAAGTTGTTCCAATTAGGAAGAAAACCAGCAAGGTTTGAGGCCTCCAGAAGTGTTTAAGGATGGGTTTAATCTCAGGCAGTAGAAAGGAGTTGAGTTCAGCCTTGAGCACAGCAGCAAAACATGAGACACAGCAACATGTGAAATGAAAGGTCATTAAATGTTTGCTGGTGATTTTCTCCTTCCTACCTTAGTCCCATAAATTATGAGTCCAGAATACATCTGCAATTTCAGTTCCCTGAGAAATCACCTGTGTCTCATAAAAGCTGAGTAAAACTGCCTAAATTTCAAACACTGGTTTTGCTTGGAGAGTGTTAGTGGATAGTTCTCTCCAGGAATCCTCATGGTCTCAACTGGATTCAGGACAGGGCTAAAAGGAAAAACAAATCAGTGATTTAGCTGGGGGTCCTGTTTGGAGTTCTTGGTGGATATTTGCGTTAGAGATTGGTGCAGGAATTAGATAAACAGAAAAAAACACAGGAAAGTTTCCCCATTACCCTCTGCCAGAATATTGGCACAACTTGGACTTTCAGATATAAACCAGCTGATTTCAGAAGAGTAACACAGGGACAGTGAGTGTCACCACGCACAAAAGTTGGCCATAGCAAGTTGGTTTTTCTTTCTTTCTACAAGACTCAGAGAATCACAGAAAGTTAAGGGATTGGACTGGGTCTTTTTTCTTCATATTCCCAGCACATAAGTAAAGCTGGTGGAAAAAAAACCAAAACAATAAACCCCAAAACCTCAAAAAAGCCACAACCCAGTGAGATCATCATAATTGAGTCCCGGTGTCTTCTCTCTCTTTCCTTGGTTAAGATGGGGAGTGGACAACTCTGGCTTCTGACCTCGCCGACTGCTGCTACTATGCCAAAAATCTGCCCAAGGGGTTTATCTACCACTTCAGGATTGCCTGCACCAGCAAAGCAGGAATGGGCCCCTACAGCGACCCTTCTGCCAGTGTGAAAATCACCGGGGAGGATCCAATGGGTAAGATCAAATCCCGAGAAACCATCGGGATCTTCCTGCGTCAAAACCACTGCACCCTTTTAGATGTGGGCCCAGAAGTCAAGAGCAAGTGAACCAAGGCCACTTCCACTTGGCTCAGGGTGGTTTAGGGTTTTTCTATCTAAAATTACATTATTTTCTAATTCTGGACACGGGGGAATATGTATAAATACATCAGAAAACTCAATAAGAGAATAACATTGTGTAAATAGAAACAATATGTAAATATATATAAAATTTAATAATAAAATAGAAACTTGGGAACTGAAGATTACCTCTTGAAGAAGCACTCAGGCTTGATTAGAGATGATGAAGAAATGGGTCTTGGACCATAAATTTGTGACTGGAGGCATTTATCTCTTGATATAGATCTGCCACTGGTGAAAGCCCTGGACCTGCTCTGTATTATGGACTAAATCCTAAATTCAGTAGTTAACGTCTCTATTCTGGTGTTTTCCTTTGGGAATTATTTTCCTTCTGTGATGAATTTTCCAGCTGTATTTTGTCTCTGAAGTAAAGAAAGCCCGATTTACTATTTTTTTTTCACTTGTTTGACTGCATTGTACAACTCACATGTTTTTAAAATTAAGAAATCCGTAACCCCACAGCAAACATATCCTTGTAGCAAAGCATCCTTTCTGCCAAGAAATAGAAGGATGGTCTAACTGGAATTTCCTCCCAGTGGAGAGGATTGCTCTGTAAAAATCAGTTCACAGAGATATTTTTAACTCACCTTAAATCCTCTGCTCTCCCTTGGTCCAGGATCCATCAATGTATCTCAATGTGTCCAGCATTTCCAAGCAGACGCTTTAAAGAGATGATTTAGTGTTTCAGGGAGCAGTTGGACACAACCACACACCAGAACCAGAGCAAAAAGTTTCAGCTGCTGCCCTGAAATATCCACCCAAAAGAAGTTTCTAGTTCTCTGTCAGTGCCTTGCTGGGACCTGGTGACTCGTTATGTGAGGAGATGTGAACCAGTGGCTCAGATGTTTGATATATCGTAGCACACAATATACAGTCCATCTCATACTGCCTGAAGTGGCCACATCAGGGAATTTTTGGGTGGAAAGAGCAGGATCTGTTGCATTCCAACAGCACTGGGTGCCACAGCTGGGATTCAGGCTGCAGAGTCACTTGGAGAAATCTCTGCTGTCGCCTTTGCTGTTGTTCATAGATAGTGGAGCTTCAGAAAGGCCCCATTGTCCACACAGAGCTGTTTTCCCATGTAATCCCTGTCCCTTTTTCTCTCCAGAGCTTCGTGCTGCAACACAGGACATCCCAGCACCTGCTGCTGAGGAAGAGAGTGAAATAATCACACCATCCGAGCCCTTCCCAACCTATCAGACCTACGCCTTCCAAACAGAAATCAAAAGGTAGAAAATCCAGCTGAGTTCTCTGTGGTCCAGAGGGAAATCCTATGTGTGATGGAGCACCTCTCCTATGAGGAAAGGCTGAGAAAATTGGGATTGTTCAGCCTGGAAAAGAGGAAGCTATTTGTGGCCTTCCAGGACCTAAAGGGAGCTACAAGAAAGAGGGAGGGGGACTATTTACAAGAGCGTGGAGTGATAGGACAACAGGGAATGGCTTCAGACTGAGAGAGAGCAGGGTTAGATCAGATATTAGGAATAAATTCTTTACTGTGAGGATAATGAGGCCCTGGCACAGGTTGCCCAGAGAAGCTGTGGCTGCCCCTGGATCCCTGGAAGTGTCCATGGCCGGGTTGGATGGGGCTTGGAGCAACCTGGGCTAGTGGGAGGTGTCCCTGCCCATGGCAGGGGGTGGAACTAGATGATCTTTAAGGTCCCTTCCAACCCAAACCATGCTAGGATTCTGTATTTCTATGATTTTATGATTCTATGTGGCTGGACTTTGGAAAAGTCACATTTATAAATGTGCTGCTCAGCAAGTGTCACAGTGGGTTGCTGAAAACCCCTCCACAGTGATACACACAAACTGTTGGCTGAGTGTTCTTCACCTTGGTTTGGTAGGATTTAGTTGCGGATTTTTTGGGAGAGCAAAAGGGTCGTAGAATCATAGAATGGTCTGGGTTGGAAGGGACCTTTGAAGGTCATCTAGTCCAACCCCCTTGCAACGAGCAGGGACATTTTCAACCAGGTCAACTTGCTCAGAGCCCCATCCAATGTGACCTTGAATGTTTCCAGGGATGAGGCATCTGGTACCTTTCTGGGCAACCAGTGCCAATGTTTTATACCCTCACTGTATAAAAATTCATCCTTATATCCTGTCTAAATCAGCTCTCTTTGTTTAAAACCATCACCCCTTGTCCTATCACAACTGGGCAGCAGGGCAGTCACTTGATATCTCGAGAAGTGAGCCCAGGGCTAACAGAGTTTCCTGTCCTTGCTGCATCGGCTTTTGGAGGTACCAGTTTCAGTCAGGGGGCTGGGATGCAACTTGCTCTACCTAGAGGAGAGGCACTGGCTTCTGTTGCCAACAAGGAGAAGTTCTCTTGCTCTCTCCTTCTCTCTCTCCAAAGGAGTTAAGCTCTCACTCCTGTAATTTAAAATGACTGTACAGTTTAGAGACACAAGAGGATGTGCAAACTGTGAGAATGGATTCAATAACTCCCTATCGGGTGTGGACGAAAAACACAGCATGGGATTCTGGTGCTTTTAAAGAACATAAGTTCCTGGCTCTTCCAGGAGCAGCAGAGAAGTTTAGTGTCCCTTTGTGTTCCTTTGTACCAGGGGGCGATTCAGCATCGTCCGACAGTGCAGGGAGAAAGTGAGTGGCAAGACCTTGGCTGCAAAAATCATCCCTTACTGGCAAGAGGACAAGCAGACTGTGCTCCTGGAGTACCAGGTCCTGAGGAAGCTCCACCACACAAACATAGCCCAGCTGAAGGGAGCCTATGTCAGCCCACGGCACTTGGTGTTGATCCAGGAGGTGTGTGTGGGACCAGAGCTGCTCCACTCCTTGGCACTACGGTAAGAACATGGAAAGGTTTTCCACTCAGGGCTGGAAAACACCTATTGCTTTCTCCTGACAAGCTGGATCATCGCTCTCCATCAATTCCAGTGTGCTGTCATTGCACATGGGATTTGTTCTGCAGCCTCTTGAGAGATTCAGGAATTACTTTAGTTCCCTATAAGGTTGGGACAATTCAGGGCTGCCCAGTTGAGACACTGAAAGCAGTTTACAGTAGTTGATATGAAATTCCATCTCCCACAACATCAAGGTTACTCAGAAAATCTCAGTAGTTGATATGAGATCCCATGTAAATAAACCCTTGTAGGTATTTTCCCCTTCCCCTAATGCTGAGTAGTTGTGTTTTGTCTGAAAACCCTCTCACACTGGGGCAAATTGTGGGAGGGGGACTTGAACTTAGAAATTGGATTTCTGAGAGTCTTAAACCACCACACTCCCACAACATGGAGGTTACTCAGAAAATCTCGTTTCTCCTCCACATTGTTTCTCAGAATGTCAGAAAATGGATCTGATGAAAGCCTGTGGTTAAAAGAGAGGCACTGGTGAGCATCAAATCTGCATTTTGATTTCTGTCCAACCCACTGCTTTCTCTGACACACAGCTCTACAACCTGCTGAGTTTCTTGCATCTGTAAATTTGACTCACAGGATAGGTTGGCCTCCCCATACACAACAGATTTGCTAAATGAAGAGTTGTTTCCTCTTGACTCTCAAGGGCCTGATGGGATTAAACATCCAGGGGTGTAGAAAAGCATTCTTGGGCATGGAGATAGGGAATAGAAAACAGCTGTCCTTTCTCCCACCAGGACATCGTACTCGGAAGTGGAGGTCCGGGACTACCTGTGGCAGATCCTCAGTGCCACCGAGTACCTCCATGCCCACAACATCCTGCACTTGGATCTCAGGTCTGAGAACATGATCATCACCGAGCCCAACCTGCTGAAACTCCTGGATTTTGGGAACGCACAGTTCTACGCACAAGACAAAGTCATTACCATGGACAAGTGCATGGACTATGTCGAAACCATGGGTGAGTACAGAGTTCAGTCACACCGCTCCAGTGGGCATCCAGGGGTCCAGAGGTCAGGGATCAAGCACTGCTACCACCCGGCCTGAGGTCCTCAAGGTTTCACTGCAATCAGCATCTGCAAAGGTGTCTTACCTCAGCCAGCTCCCTGTCCCAGGAGCTGCTTCTTCTTCACTCTTGGGAAGGCAGCAAAAGTACCCACTGCCTTTGTGCTGCTCTCAGTGCGTTGGAGCAGAGCTGGGCTCACACCAGTTTGCTTTTCCAGCTCCAGAACTGCTGACAGAGCAAGGAGCCCTCCCACAGACTGATATTTGGTCCATCGGAATCACAGCCTTCATCATGTAAGTCAGTCTGTCCTTCCCTGCCCTGTAAACAGCCTTAAAACCACAATTTCAGAGTCACCAGTCAGGGAAGATGCATTGACTCAGAGAATTGACATCAGTTGTGCCAACTCTCCTTGGCAATGCCAAGGAAGGCTGTGGGATGGAGGGGATGGAGCTGGGTGTGGGATGGAAG